TTACAAGTGTATTTCTTTAGGCAATGATGATTAAGTTTCAAAATTTTAAATTCTACCTTGTATATATGGTTTTTCAAAATTTAGCATTAAAAATAAGTAAATGATAGAATGTTATCCATCTGGAATTAGACTGATTCTCTAATATGAGAATTGGTCTAAATAAATATTAAAATACTAATTTAATACTAAAAATAAAATAAAAACAAAAATATTTGCAACATAGAATCAGAGGGAACCTTTTGATCTACCTAAACATACTGACTCGCTTAATTCTTCGACAAAACTAGGTGGGCCACTCTAAACCTAGCTAAATCGCGATTCGAGGTAGGAATTGTCTAGTACCTTGCTTATGTGACCCATATCGCTATTTTTCAAAATCAAGTGAGATAAATATTGTATTATTAACATCATATGACTAACAAAAAGAATTTCTATTAAAGCAAAATTTGGAATCAGGTCTGGGCTTCAGTAGTTATAAGTTGACATTAAGTAACACTATATCTCAAGTTCGATCCCTACCCCTGAACACCAAAAAAAAAAAAAAATCCGTAAGTCTTATGTGTTAGTACTTTTTCCCCAAAAAAACTCATAATCACGTGCAGGGATGTCAATGAGTAGGGTGACCTGCCTGGCTTTTTTATAAAAAAAGAAGAAGAAAATTTTTTTATTTTCTTTTGATTTTACTTGGCCCAGCCCGATCGAGCCAAGACTACGTCAAACCTATGGGGTCTGAGGCCTGGCTAGGCTAGAGTGGCCCTGTCCATTGTCAGCCTAATTCACGCGATAACTATTTTGTTATAAACAGCTTAGTATTTAAATGTAGTTACTGCAACCGTGGACTCGAAATCTTTTTTCTTTTTCATATTCATGTATCTCGATGTCGAGATGATCAATTGGAGGGTTTTCTAACATTCAAACTACTTTTTATGACGGAGTTTTTGTATGCACCTTTAATTCTACATTTTTATCATTACAATCTTACATAAGCTTTTTCCTTAACAGATTAATATCTCTGTCCTTGATTCTCTATCTCTTCTAATATCTCATCCTTCTCTCTCACACTAAATAAACACCTCTCCTAATCTCACACACAATCTCTCACCACTCTCTAGCCCTCTCTCTAAAAAAACCTCAAACCTTAGAGGAGAGAGAAAAAAATATTAACCACCTCTATAAATGAAAATCTTTCACACAAAGCTAGTGGAGTTTCGTTGCCTTTGAGCACTTATTATCATGCCTATGTTATTTATGTTGATAAGCAACAATCATAAAAGGTATATTCACGTTCTAATGAGGGGGTGGACATTTTTTCTTAGCCCTAAACTTCCATTACTTTCTATTTTTTAACTTGCTTTTTATTTTTATTGGTTATTTGGTGTTGGAAGAGTTTATTTTTATTGTCTAAAGTTTGGACTATCTTTTGGTGTCTATTTGGGTGATTTAATAAAGGAAAAAGTTTATATAGAGCCGAGGCTCCAAACAATCAAATTTGAGCCTACCTCAAAAATTTCACTAGAAGAGGTTGTTTTAATGTCCAAATATCTTCAAATTGATCATCTCGGCATCAAGATACATGGACATGAGAAAAAAATGGATTTCAAGTTTTGGAAATAGTGTATTTTGTAATACATACCATGAGATATTGTTCATTCTTTTGAGTTCAATCTCATATTGCGATTGTATATCGCAAAATTGTGCACGTTTGTTTCATGTGAAAATATTTTTCAGAAAATATTTTCACGTGAAATAATTATTTTATGTAGTTAGGTGTGGGGATATTTTCACATCAATTGGCTCTGGTGCACGTTTCACACCAATTGGAACTTAATTGGTGTGAAAATATTCCAATACCTAACCATATAAGGGAATTTTTTCATGTGAAAATTTTCACATGAACCAAACGTGCTATTTTCACATGAACTATTGTGTATGAATACTTGTATCTGTGTACAAATAACATGGACACCTATTGCATGACAAAAATAATATATAGGGGAATGATTTCATTCAACGGTATGTACAGTAATATAAAGCAGCAATCTTCAAAAAACCATGGTAGGCCCATTTGTTTGATCTAAATGATGTTTTTTCTTCCCAAATTCTTTAGATAACTTTATTAGCATAAGATTAATAATATTATTTCAAAGAAGTATTCAATTTTGCCTAAGGAAGTAGATGGATAGTAAGGAGGGTTTGAAAAGATCCACAAAGGATAGATGCTGATGGATGAACAAGAGAAAAAGATGAAAACAAAGTTGTTTTTTGTGCATCTTTAATTTTACCTTTTAAGGTTGTAACCTTATACATGATGGATTGGAGGAAGGTTTTGGTCATGGATGATGATGGAAACTGAGACCATGATAGATTGAAGGAAGGTTTTGATAGGAGAAAATTATGAAAAAACTAATGGAGTAAATGGGTCAAATGCTGAGATCTGCACGAGTTCTTCTTGCTCTAAAGTTGTGATTAATCGAGCGGTATTGGAGCAATGCAATATCAATACAAACCTCTGTGTGACTAGTTCTTTTTCACCTCCTTTAACATATTATTTTGGCCTTTTTGACTGGGCCTAGAGAGGGTAGAATCTGTTTTATCTTCCTGATGTAAAGATTATTGGAGCTAATAAAATAGTCTTTAAACTACGGTCAAAAGAAGAGGTACGGAAGGCTTTATCTCATAGGTTTTGTAGAGTTCGAGGTGATTTACTATCTCTTGATCTTTGGAAACCAGCTGATCATGGGGCCTTCCTTCAAAAGAAGTCATGCTGGATTAAACTATGGGGCCTTCCCTTAAATGCTTGGAATCGATTTGCATTGGGATTCTTTTCTAAATCCAAATGCAAATTTGTGTGAGTTAAGTTGTGGGGTTTCCCTGGTATGCAGTTTCTAGAAAACATTCTCCTTAGTGTGGATGATGACCTCTTTACAATTATGGCCATGGATGATGATGGTAGGTCTTTGGCCATAAATTTGGGTCCAGTGTATTCTCAACATAAAGTGATAGATGCTGGGCTAGAAAGATTGGATGTGACAACCGAAAATCCTGATTCTGGCATGAAGATGAACCGCCAGTTAGTGGGTAATCAATTTAGGAGAAATCGACAGCATTTCAAATTTCAAAAGCTTCAAAAATTGCATTACTCAAAGGTTTCAAACCGTTGCATTCCCGTAGGGAGGTTTCTGGAATCTTCTACCGGTTTTTCGCAACAGTTTCATGACCACCAATTTGATGTTTCGAATGATGCCACCGACTACGAACGGGTGCCGTTGAATGACTTCTCGACGACAGGCCTAAAAGCACATGGTGGACCCACGGGTCCATTGTCGTTCTTGCACAGGGAAAGTCCAAATCACTTTGGAAAGCCAAATCACTTTAGAAAGGTGGCGAGCGTAAGTCCCAAGAATGATGTGATGATTAGGGTCAGAGATTTGGTCTACTTTTCAGCAGGCCTTCCTTGTTTCAAGTTGACGGCTATGTCAAAATTTCTCTCCATATCCCATCTTTTGAAGGAGATTGAGTCTAGAAGAAATCTCCTTGAGCTCCTCTCTGTGGTGGTCTTTTCCTTGGTTGCTTGATGCACAGGAAGCTCTCGACGCTACTGTGCCAATGTAGTCTCTTGTGGCTTTGTGTGGTGCTAAGAAGACAAGAACTAGGTTTGATCTCCTGCTGATAGAGCCTTTGACCTTAGTAATGGTGGAACCAGAGGAAGCTCCGTTGGGACCTTTGATAATTGAAGGTGGTGTAGCAGTCCCCCAAGATGATATGAATCCTTCAGGCAAAGAGCTTACTGTACTTGAGGATTTTCGACCGCTCAACATCATTCCACAGGTGGACCTTTCGCATCTGCCTTCCATGGGTTCTGCCTTTGAGGAGTCTCCACTTAAATCAATGTTAGGGTTTCCTGTGAAGGTGGCTCAATTGGATAACTTCCCTGCAGTCTCCAAGATGAAGGATGACATAGGTCTCGATGATGTCCTGCTCCGTGTGGTGATGGAGGACATTAAAGAACAAAGAAGAAAGAGGGTTGATATTAACATGGACGACAAGGGGACTGGGAAGGATTAATCATATGTAAACAGAGAGATGGTTTCGGTAACTCCGACCAAAGTGGCAGATGCAGGCAAGAAAACGAGGATTATAAAGGTTGGGGTTCGATCTTCAGCACGTCTTGAGGCTCGTGGCATTTTCAAGAAAGGTCCCCTTGGTGCTATTGCTTTTGGAGATCCGGTGGTTAGTGATGTGGAACCGTCCTCCTCGAGTGTGGCGTCTCGGGATGATGACGAGTTGAAGGAAGCCATGATGTTATAAGAGCTTTACTTCAGTGTAGGTCCTGAGGGACCAGGAGGTTGCCCAAACAACCCCCCCCCCCCCCTCCCTTTTTTTATAAATGAATTTCTTATCTTGGAATGTGTGGGGCTTAGGTGACCCTCTCAGAAAAAGGGATGTTTTGTTTTTGGTGTCCACATATAAACCGGTTGTTTTGTTTTTACAGGAAACCGAACTTCCTATGCCCAACGTGTCAGGTGCTAGGGAAGTTTGGGGTTCCAAGGCTGTTAGTTTTTGTGGTATTGTTATAGTGGGTGCATCATGGGGTTTATAGGTTTTGTGGGACCCGTTGGTTCTGCAGAATTTTGATATCATTGTCAAAATTAGTTTTGTGCTTTTGGGCTTTCATTATCCTAAACTTAGTTTTTCATGAGGTCTTATAAATATTTATGAACCTTCTGTTCTAACTCTAAATGAAGGTTTCATTTCTGAGATGAATGATGTGATTTAATATTTTCCTTTTCATTTGGTGGTTGGGGGTGATTTCAATCTTACTTGTTGGCGAGATGAGTGTCTTGCGGCCACTCTTATTAATTCTTCGATGAGATTGTTTAATAGATTCATCGAAAGTAATGCCCTTAATAGATCATACTATTATTGGATCTAAATTTACCTGGTCCAATAATAGCGTTTCTAGACTAGCCATGTCCAAGTTAGATATATTTTTTACTTCAATGGAATGGTTGGAGGAGTTCCCTTTATCGACTGCTAAGTCTCTTCCAAGAGTTTGCTCTAACCGCCAACCAATTCTATTGAATACAAGTGTGGTGCGAGGTGGTCCGAAACCTTTTCGTCTGAATCTGGAATGGTTGGAGATGGATGGTGTTGGGGACCTTATAAAAGGAGCATGGACAAATTGTGTTGTTGAAGGTATTGTGGATTTTTGGTTGCACCATAAGTTGTTGAACATCAAACGAAAATTGATTAATTGGAAGAAAGAAAATAACTTTGACATTAAAGGAAAAATGGATAAGGTTTTACTTGATATTGAAGGGCTTGATCAGAGCATCCAAGAAGCTGGCACCCTAACAAAGCAGCTTAGATTGGAGAGAAGCGAGAAATTGAAAGAGTTAAATGATCTTAGAAGAGCTGAGGAAATTTATTGGAGATTAAGGTCTAGATCGAAGTGGCTTAAAGATGGAGATCTCAATACCAAATTCTTTCATGCTATTGCTAGTGTTAGAAGAAGACAGAATGATATCTTTGAACTTGTTATTCCAGGGGTTGATTCTGACAATGATCAGGCCATGGAACTTGCAGTGATTAATCACTTCAAGAAGATATTTCAAAGGAAGTGAAGTATACCCCAAAATTTGATAGAATTCCTTTTAAAAATGTTACCTAGCAATTTACAAAGCCAGTTGGAAAGAGAGGTAACTTTGAAAGAGGCGCAAAAGACCGTCTTTGCTCTGCCTGGTGATAAAGCACCTGGAACTAATGGTTTCCCTTTAGTTTTTTTCCAAAAATTTTGGAAGTTAGTCAAGGGTGAATTATTGGAGTTGGTAAGGGGTTTTATGATTACTGGGCAAGTGTTTCGAGGAGTGAATTCTACTTATTTGGCTCTGATCCCATAAAAGTCGGTGATATCGGAAATTTATGATATTAGACTGACTAATCTTCTGACAAGCCTTTAAAAAATCATTGCTAAAGTGTTGGACTAAAATTAGCCCTCCCTCTCATCATTTCTAGTACACAATCAGCTTTTATTGAGGAATGGCAAATTACTAATAGTGTAATGATAGCGTAAGAATGCACTCATTCTCCGGTGATTAGCAAAGAGCCTAGTGTGATGCTCAAGTTAGACATGGAGAAGGCTTGTGATAGAGTGGAATGTGGGGCTCTTTTGGAAATTATGAAGAGGATGGGCTTTGGAAATAGATGAAGAAGCTGAATTTTCAGTTGTTTGTCCTCAGCTCACTTTCCAGTTTTTTTAATGTGAGCCCTATTGGATTCTTCAATGCCTCAAGAGGACTTCACCAAGGGGATCCTCTGTCGCTTTTTTTATTTACCATTTATGCTGAATGTTTCAGCTTGATGTTGATTAAGGTGAAATGAGTTGGTTATTATGGCTTTACCATTTTCCATCTGCAATATGCAGATGATACTCTCATATTTTGTGATGCCGACATCTCTCAAGTGGAGAGCATTGCAAGATTTTTGGAGTGTTGTGAGGTGACTTTGGGCCTAAAAGTTAATTTTCACAAGTGTTCAATGATTGGCATTAACTGTCCACAATCTTGTGTTGATGTTCTGGCGAATGCAATGGGCTGTAAAGTGATATCCTTCCCTATTATTTACCTCGAAATGCCCATATCTCTCTCTTATAGTGTGGGATAAGGTCACCAAGCTTGACTAGTGGAAACCAAAATATCTGTCTCTAGGAGGAAGAGCAACACTGTTGTACTAATGTTTGGCCAATCTGCCAGTATACCAGATGTCGCTGATTACCATACCTGCTTTAGTTGGAAAAAAAATACAGAAAATGATGAGGGACTTTCTGTGGGGTTCTAATAGTAAGATGCACAAATTTCATCTATTACTATGGGGCAGAGTGTGCACTCCTAAGAGAGAAGGAGGTCTAGGCATTTGGAAGATTCGAACTTTTAACCAAGCTTTGCTATGCAAGTGGTGGTGGCGTAGCACTCATTTGAAGGATCATCTCTGGTACCAAGTCTTACATGCCAAATATGGTATGGATAGACTAGATCTGTAGCTTGGGTGTGGAAGGGGTAAGAATATCTCTAATCTTTGGAGAACTATTTTAAATTGCAAGCCAATGATATCTGGTTATTTTAAATGGAATGTTGATTGTGGTGTACAAGTCTCTTTTTGGCACCATAGGTGGTTGGGGGACTATCCTCTTAGGGCCGTCTTTCTGGACCTTTTTAGTCTTGTGAATAAGCCCAACTTGAAGGTTTGTGAGGCAGCAGAAACCAAGGGCCAGTGCATTTCATGGGATATTTCTTTAGCATACAGCTGATTGAATAATGTATTGTTAGCACAATGGTGCTAACTCGTGGAGTAGTTGGATAAAGTGTATTTATCTCAAAATGTCGATGATGAGTTTATCTGGGAAATTGAGAGTGATGGTGTTTTCTCTGTGAATCTTGCTACAATCCTTTTTTTCATGACCGATAGAGATGGTCATGCACGTACATCACCCAAATATGGAAATGGCCAATCCTACACAAAGTTCAAATTTTTATTTGCCTAGTAGCTCATGATAAAACTCTGACCATTGATAATTTGATCCAAAGGGGGAAAGTTTTCCTTAATGTCTGTTTGCTATGCAAGGAGGATGGGGAGACTGGGGCGCATCTCTTAATTCATTGTCATTTTACATTAAGAATTTGGTATTGACTTTTTGATATGGTTGGATACAGATGGTTCTTCCTCAGTTGGTTGGGGGGATTGTGTTGTTTATGACAATGCCCTTTCTGGTTAAGACGGGACTAGTAGTATGGAAGATTGTAGTAGGACTGATTCTCTGGGAGGTATAGAAGGAAAGAAATAAAAGAAATTTTGAAATGATTGCTTGTCCTTTTGATAAGCTAATCCATGCCATAAAATGTTCCATATGGTCGTGGTTGTCAGTGATTAAAGAGGCTTGGGGTATTTTCAAAGTGGATGTGATGGCCAATCAGCGAAATTTGTTCTATCTTGGTTCTAATTGCTCTAGACCGAGATGTATATGGGTGGCACCGTGTTTAGGAAGCCTAACGCTTAACTTTGATGGTAGCTCCTTTGGAAACCCAAGATTAGCAGGGATTGGAGGCATGATGCGATATTGCTCTAGTAATGTTCTTTTCTCCTATGCTGGTCCGCTAGGTTCTGCTACAGCAAATTTTGCAGAACCTAGTGCACTGCTTTATGGTTTGAAGATATTCTTAAAGAGGAATTTGCGGTGTAACTGCACGATTGAAGATGATTCCTTGAATATTATTAAATAGTGCAAAAAATAACTGAAAGTCCCTTGGGAGCTCCGGTCTTTGTGGTTGAAGGTGATGGACTTAGTAGTTGGTGCCTCGGTTTCGATTTCCTTTTCTCATATTATAGGGAAGCCAATAGTGTTGCTGACGTCTTAGCTCAAGGAGGTTCCTCTATCCCCTCTCTTTTGATCTCTGATGATGTAATTTCATTTTTGTAGCTATCAATAAAAGTAGTAACCTTGGTAAAAAAAAAGATTAATAATATTAAAATAAAAAGAAAATAATTTTGAATTCATAAAGGTCTAGATCTTGAAATTCATTAAATGGACAGTCTAGATTCATTATTGGATGAGACTCATTTTGACCATATATAGGGTGCAAGTTATTATGATTATTATTATTATTTTAGATTGAATATTGAAATGAAGAGAGTGTGTGTAAAATTTTGGGTTATACAAATACCACAAACATGCTTTCTAGAAGTGTGGTTGCATCATAATATGATACAACCGTTGCACGAGATCATTTTCCATATATATGTGTGTGTGCACGCGCACTCGCACTACTTCTTGTTTTATTTATTTTTGTAGTGTTTTGTTTTATTTTCTTTTTAATTATTCACTTTTTTTTTCTTTTTAGGTTTATCTTTATTCGATCTACTACTGTTATTTTTAGGTTTATTTTTACCTGTATTTAAAGTTGTTGGGAACTCAATCGTAAGCATGTCTCCAACACAAGCACGTTTTTCTGTGTGTTTTGTTGTGTTTTCTTGCAGGTTTATTTTTGTTGTGTTTTGTTTCATTTTCCATTTAGTTAGTAGTGTTTTATGTTATTCACTATCCTAGCGACCACCAATATCTTCAACTACTAAAAAGGCCAAGTTTCTAACCAATTAAAGCACTCCAAAAAAAAGTTCCAATATGTGCAATGAGCTAAAAGTCCTAATTGCACTTAAACAATCATTCAAATAATTTGCAAAAGCACCTAATTGGCACATAATTTAAGAGTCCAACTTTGAAAGAAGACACTTGACTTGATGAGACCCAAGCCCAACGCAACTTTTTGACCCGTAAGAGATGATGAAAATTATTAAAAATAAAAAAGAAACCCACAAACCGCACACCAGAAAACCAAAACACCGAAAACCTCAACTATGAAGAAACCTTACAACAAAAAACATCAACTATAAAGAAGCTTTAGAAGCACCAAAATTTTAAACAAAAAAGTTTCTCCATACCTTTAACTTTCTGTAAAATATGTCTCAATACATGGGTATTACTACTTCGCAATATTAGTGGATTTTTTTATTAGTAATTTAAATCAAAATAATCATTGTGCCCATTTTTTTGTTTTATTTTTTTTTTATATTTTTTATCTATAAAATTTTATGCTTTTATATTTAAAGAATGATATTTTTAATCACATGCAACGCACGTGTTTTTTACTAGTTATTATTACTATGACATTATTAAGCTAAAGTTAAGGGGTTGACAAGTATTGTTTTTATTTTATTATTATTTTTTACATTATTAAGCCAGAGTAAGAGGTTGACATGCATCATAAAAATAAGAAAAGACCATAATTCTATAGAGTATAAGGCACATTATCATCTCTAGAGAAAGAAAGGTAGAGAGTAAGCACATATCTCTCTCTTAAATATAGTTAACCTCTATCTTTTTAGGATAACCAAATTTAAGAGAGACAAAAAAAGTAAGCATAATTTTTTAGAGAGAGAGAAAGAGAGAGATTAACCGTGTTTAAGGGGAGAGAGATATATTATTTTTTTAAGAGATATGCAACCATATCATGGACAACAGCTATATTTAAGGAGAGAGAACCGTATAGTAAACTTATCCCTTTTTTCCATCTGTTACAATATTGTTGGTGATTATCTTAGTACATCACAATAGATGGAGATAATCATGGGGCTTTTAGATAGAGAAAATCAAGGAGATATGAGATAATATGGACATTAAAATATTTTAGGAGAAAAATAAGATAGAGACTCACGTAAAAATACACTCATATCTTTATATATTTATTCTATTTCATAATATTTTTAAAAACTAAAAAATTATAAGAAACATAATATTTAGAGAGGTCTCTTTGTGTCGCTCTTCTTACAAGATGATTTGAAAGTATTTCTCCCAAGCGCAACTCTCTTTCAATCATTATAAAAGAAGGTACGACCTCGTTGCTTATTATTGTTTCCTCATGGTTGCTATTTTATTATATCTTGAATGTTATAGATTTTCTTTCATGTCTATCTGCCATTGATTTTTTGTTCAGATTTGTAATATTTGTTTTTACCATCCATATATTCAATGGACCGCAATGACCAATTGTACTTTGATATTTCGTGATTCTAATAGTAAATTATTCTTCCTCGTAGTCAATTTCGTTAAAAGCATCAATCTTACATGTAGAAGTACCACATACCTCAAAAATCCATCCGAAAGTGTTGCACCGATGGGAAAAAAATGCCTCAAAAATCCATCAAAAAGTGTTGCACTGATGGAAAAAAAAATACCGCAAAAATCCATCCGAAAATGTTGTTCTGATGGAAAAAAAACTAACCCCAATTCTCAACCTCGAGATGTATTAATATGGAAAACAAGATTTTCAAGTGATGTATGTTGTAATATATTATCTAGACCGTCTATTTTCAAGATTTTGAAGTATTTAGATGATCTACACCATGTTAGTTTAAATATCATAATTAGATGTGAAATAGATTTTTAGGTCACTTTTAAAATTTCTGGCATCAAAATTACATCTTTAAGCAAGCTCCCGTACTTAAATTATTTAGAAACAAACATATTATGCATTAAATACTCAAAAGACTATACTCTTATGACTCAAGCCATCTCGGCCATCTACATGATGGAAACTAGAACTAGGGGTCACTATATATATATATGAGCAATGATCCAATGCAACTGTTGTATCATAGTATAATGCAACAACACTTCTAGAAAATCATGTTTGTGGTTTTTGTATGACCTTAAATTTTGCACACACTCTTTTCATCTCAATAATCAATCCCCAAACAAACAAAATTTCAATTTGAACCCTAGATATGGTCAAAATGAGTACCCTCCAAAAACGAATCTAGATCATTTATTTTATGAATTTCAAGATCTTAGCCTTTATAAACTCAAAATCATTTTTTTCTTTTTTAACATTGTTCATCTAATGATAATAAAGCCATCGAAAAAAATTGGAAATGAAAAAATCCTTCTAAGACCTAGATCTAAACATCTCACCAAAATAAACGGCCTATGTTAATTGGGCTAAAAAATACTTTCTAGGTTGTGTTTTCAAATTTTTCTTTTTTTATGATTGTTCATTAGAATGAAATGAACGTATATTTCAAAACTTGTCCCGTAGATCATACAAATACCACAAACATTAT